AACCGAGAGTTAGAAAGAGGGTGTTTGGTTGAGAAAAACAGAGCGGAGATTTGGGCTTGGACCCGGGCAGACGCCTGAGTGTTACATTAAAGCGTCTATTCACCGAACTACGGTTCTTCCTTCGCGCTGACACTGGGTGCTCGGGTCATCGAGGGGCGTGCATTCCGAACCTCAAACACCTTCCCTTCTTTAGGTAGTGTAGAAGCTAGCCGAGGAGGAAGAAATTAACTATTATCATCTTTGGAAGTGTCATTCACCTTTCTGTTCACATCACGTAATACCAAATTGTGTATATCTGGAGCTACCAAAACGGCCGTGAGCACGCTATAAGCGTAGACTGTAATCATGTTTCACATGACACGAATATCACAATTATGCTATTTGGACGTGACATTTACCTTCGTCGTCCATCAATATCACGTATTAGCAAATTTTGTATATATGCAGTGAGTGAAACTGCCACGAGCACGTTATCAGTGTAACAGGTAGTCATGTTTTACATGACACGCATAACATTATTATCGTGTTTGGACGTGTCATTCAACTTTCGTCGCCTATTCTCGTCACCTGATTCCAAATTAAGTATAGGTGGAGCTAGAGAAACGCCCATGAGCATGCTATGAGCATAGCATAGAATCATGTTTCACATGACACGCATATCAAGATTATGATATTAGGATGTGACATTTACCTTCGTGGTGCATGCACGTACCGTATTACCGAATTTCGTATATATGCTGCGAGTGAAACGGCAACGAGAACACTAAGGTGTAGCAGATAGTCATGTTTTATATGACACGCATATCTAGATTACCATGTTTGGACGTGTCGTTTACCTTAGTCGTCTATTCACGTCACTTGATACCAAGTTTGGTATATGTGGGGCTAGCGAAATGGCCGCGAGCATGCTATGAGCGTAGCATGCGATCTTGTTTCACATGACACGCATATCATGATTATCTTGTTTAGACGTGTCATTTACCTTTGTCGTATATTCAGGTCACGTGACTCAAAATTTAGTATATGTGGAGCTGGAGATATAGGCGTAGAATGTAGCCAATTTTTTCATGACACGCATATCATGATTAAGTTTGCCGTCATATACATTCGGTATTCATTGACGTCACGTAGCACCGAATTGGGTACATGTGAAGCTAGTGAAGCGACTGCGAGCGCACCATGAGCGTGGCTTGCAGTGATAACTAGTCATAACATGAAAATCATGAGATGCCTGTCACGGCTTCCTCGTTAGGATCTGTCAATATGTTCGCTAGGCAGTCATGTCACACATACCATTTGAGCTTTGCAAAAGGCCATGTGAATGAAACCACCGCAAGAGCAGCAAGACCACGAAATTTAAATCATGACATACTTGTCGTCTCGATTTTCATGTTATGACTAGTCAATTATGCTCATCATGCATCCATGTTATGACATACCAAGTTTTGTATCGATACTAGTATTGAGACAGGCAGGAAAGCTAAATGTCGTTGGCGGCTAGATAGATAGACAGATAGTTAGATAGATAGATAGAGATAGATAGATAGATAGATAGATAGATAGAGATAGATAGATAGATCGAGATAGATAGACAGATAAATAAATAGATAGATAGATAGATAGCTAGATAGATAGATAGATAGATAGATAGATAGATAGATAGATAGATAGATAGATAGAATAGATAGACTCAAGCCGCTGAAGTATGCTAAGGAACGCTTCGCATTTGATACTAAACCGCTTGCGAACACTATGAGAATTGGTTTCTGGACCTAAATCTCCAGGTATTATTGTCAATGGCACCAGGTGTAACAGTACCTTCTGAGACTTTTTTTTTGCATTTGTAACAGAAAAACTGGTAATGAATACAGCTTTTCCACGGAAAATGTGATGCCCAGTTTACTTGAACAACCGCTGTAGAACACAACTGTTGAATTCGTACAAGACTGCGTATCTAAACGAAAGGTAGCGCTTAAGAATGCTTCAAAAATAGTACTTAATGATGCATTCTGCAAAACTGCTGGTCTTGAGAGACGGTCGGAATTTCGAAAAAGAATCCATTACCACTAATGAATACTCGGCAGCGAAGCTGTATCGGCACCAACCACTCACCAGAGGGAGCTGCTTTGATCGCTGTGGCTCAACAACAGTGCGACGATTTTTCACTGATTTAGTTGTGTCCGCATCACCTTTGCAAACGCCGGCCGCAATTACTATCTTATGACAGACTGCGTCCGCAAAGCGCTTGAGGCCACTGAATAAAAGAGGTTCGTTGGCGGTGAGGACCCCGCAGTAAACTGACGCGTGCACGCAACCTACCCCCCCCCCCTGCCCCCCCCCCCCCCCGGCAGCCTGGCCACAACCTAGCCACAGCCCGCCTACCGCTGCATAAGTGAAAAACCCACGCATCGCGTTCCATTCTGAGCAGCCTAGCCTCCATATTGCTTTCTTACCCGATAGGTTGTGCGTTCCACTGCACTACAGCAAGACGCCCACGTCGACTGCTTGGCGCCTATGGCCTACTTCACTAAGATCCCGTCTCGTGTACGAAAATTGGACGCTTCCTGAACTTCTAATGTGTTCAGCGATACACTTCGCTCAATAAGAGGGGGGTTGGTCACAATGAAATGATACGCATGTCTCCTTTAAACACTGTGAAAGTGTCCTAAGACATGGTGCAGAAGACTGAGGCGCAAAAACATATCGTGAAGCAGGAAGAGCAGGAGAGAAGACAGAACAGCGCCAACTACCAACTGTTTAATGACCGTCTAGGAAACGCACAGGAAAGAAGACAAAACCGCGCATGCGTGCACAGCCAACAAACATCGCACAGCATCATGATCAAAGCACTAAGTTACCCAAAAGATGCATTTCTGTTGCGTACAACACAATAGATGTATCACTGATACAATCGGGTCCTCTCTTTTTGATAAAATAGGCTTCCAAGCACTCTCTAGCTGTTTGTTTTTTGCTCCTACCAAAAATCACCGTTTTTTTTTTCAAACACTGGCAGACATCCGCAGGCTTTACAGTGCGCTGGAAGATGCGCATGATCACTTTTGCCTAAAGTATTGGCATGCTCCTTCAGTCTCTCATTAATTCAACGCCCCGTTTGACCGATATAAAACTTGCCACAGCCTAGGGGAGTCCCATATACCACGCCTTGTGCGCAGCGCCTAAAAAGTCTTGTGTGCTGCTTCTTGTTGCCCTTTTGCTCATGGCTTGAGATAGGCGGGCACAATTGAGCAAGTTTCTTGGGAGCTAAAAAAACGGCCCACTCTCCATCATTCACTCCGTGGATATGCAGCCATTTTTTTTCTTTCTACCTAATATGCCCCATAGTGGTTATGGACACTGGCATTGGTCGAAAACTGCAGTGCACGTGACTCTTCTTATGATGCCACAGCAGTGTCACAATCTTAGATTAGTACATTAGGACCCTTACAGAATTCCAACGTGCAGATGGTCTCGCCACATATGTGCATTTTGTTGGTAATCATTTAGTAAGATTGGCCTTATGAAGTTTTAAATATGTTTTTCGTTGAAGATATCCAACGCTGTTGTGAGTGTCATTTTTCGAGATGTGGTGTTCTATGATTTCAACGTATTATCATCTTCAAGAACTATACAAGTGTTTTCTGCACCTACGAACCAACTAGCGCAACCACATGGTTAGCTTTAAAATTTGGCGATATAACTTGTTGGCTGCATACCATTCCAACAAATGAAAACCAATTCTCCTGACTTTATGAAATAGTACGTCTCTTAATTTTTTCTGCAGTAGAGGCTACCTACGGTACCCTGCCTAAACTTGAACAAGTTTACATGACTATTTTCAACCTTGGCCGAGAGACTAGTCCACACATTTCACCAGGTATGAAAGCATTTGGCCTGCTCGTTAGGTTCTCCGAAACTTGTTTTGCTGCCATCCTGGCTCAAAATATACCTCTTCACGACAAGTGATGACGCTATTTCGGTTCTTTTATAACGACGAAGCCAAGCTGGGTGACAGGGGCAGACACGTGTCGCCATTGCAGCATCTCATAACTTAAATACGTTAT